GAAATGCTTCCTATGATTTGGAGTGGAGGTGCAGGGAGGCCCCATTCTGGGCCTGGAATTCCTGTGATGGAGGGGACCATTTGTTGGTTTGATAGCCTGGGATTCTTCTCCTCTCTGCGTGCCCACAAAAACCTTGAGAGGGTCCCATTTCCCGCTCTTGTAACTCCGGAGAAAACTATGCTTCCATTTCTAAAGAAAATGGAATCCGATTTGGTGGTGGTAACGGTGGGGTATTGCTCGGTCGAGGAGCGATGGAGAGTGTGCTCAATATTCCACGAGGGAAAAAATTGAAGGCGGAATAGGGCAAAGAAAAGGGAGCTTGGGCTCTGAAAGGGCGAGAACTGGAGGTGGAGCGGAGTTCACCGCGCAGTGAACCCGCTAGGCCGGTCGCGCAGCCCCCAGCCCCCGCCCAGAGCCCTATTGTCCGCGGGCAGAGCCCGGGGTCGTGACCCAGCTGAAGGCGACACGGCGCCCGGAGCGGCCGTGGCGTGGAACCCGGAGGGGGTGCCGGGCCGCCGGCGGCCTCTCGCACCTCACCTTTGCCCGGGCTGGCCCTATTTCGCCATCCTCAGGACCCTGGTCGCTCTAGAAGGGAGCCGGGACCCCCGGAGACGGCGGCCGCTTTGTGCCCCATTCTCTGGCAACGGCTGCCTGGGAAGCCAGGGGCCGGCGGCGAGAACCTAGGGTCGCACAGTCTGGCAGTGCCTCCTCCACGCTCCGTCTTAAAGCTGGTCCCCCGGAAGTTCAAATATATCTCCCTTTCCCAATCTCGGAGGCTGGGCAGAGAGGGTCAGAAAGGAGGAGTGGGTAAAGGTGACACCTCTTTGGGCTTGACCCTTACCCCATCCCCACTGGCAGAAGAGACCCTAGAGGACCCTATCTCTTAGGAAATCTGGCAATTGCTGACAGGGACTGGAAATCTAAAATAGTCCTTTCCATGTATTAGACTCCGTCACCCTGTTCACCCTCAAACGTGGGAGATCCTCCCTACCCATCCTTGTCTTCCCTGCCTCCTAATCTATCAGCTAGGCGGATCTGCAGGGACTGGGAAACATGGAGGTGATGCTGCAGAGGGCTTCGCCCCTGTCTGCATGGATGTACGCTCCGCTTCAGGATGGACCCAGCCACAGGGCTGGCCCCAGAGAGAAGAGAAGACAAACCCTGAGGACTGGAGACAAGAGCCAGGTCTTCGAAGGGGCTCCTGGCTGCTACCAAATCCAAAAGAGAGGCCCACATCTGGAGCTACAGGGATTTTAGGGTGGCTGAGGGGGACCCTTTTGGGTCTCTGGCTCAAACAGTGCACTCAGCCATTTTTCATTCTCAAGAGGCAACTAAAACTCTGATACCCCAAACAGCCACAAGCTGCAGAGAAAAAATTTAAATGGAGTTAGCTATATTGGGGGGGGTAGAAAAAGCAGGCCAAGTTGGTGGGGTTGTGGGGGGCGATCAGTTCAGTCAGAAAGGTTGGTCAGAGGCAAAGACTTTTTTCCTACCAAATCCCCCAAATATTTGTTTTGGGCTCCTGCCCACCCAGATAAATCAAGTTAACAGATTAGGAAGTGCATAAAATTGTATTCTTAGATAATGATATCCAGAGAGGTAATAAATATTCCCTCTGCTCTGGTGGCCACTGGAGTTGGGGGAATCCTCCGTCTCTTTTTCCAAGCCTGGGAAGGGTCTCTTAGAATTAGCTCTCCGAAAGTGGGGTACCAGATAGAAACTGTGGAAAACTATGAGAAGTAGCTTTGTGAGGGCGATGGCATGCTTCCCCAGCACTGGGCAAAAATTGGAGGAAAAGACGGTGGAATTGTCCCCGCACACTGCTCCTCCCCATCATGGCACCCTCAATCTCGAGGGCCCCTTCGGAGTCTGTCTTCTCTTATCTTGGACAAGCAGACAAATGGTGCCTAGCAGAGGGTACCCTCATCCCAAGCTCTGGAGAACCCCTTGTTTTATCTTCCGTTCCACTCCCCCAAACACACACATACACATCCATCTAACAGCAGGAAGGCAGCTCTGAACTGCAATCTGCTAAGTCCACGCATATGAAAAAAAAAAAAAAAGCTGATGCACAGATTGCAGAGCAAACTTTGTAGGAAACTTCATACAAGCAGCAGCAAGACGCCCTCAGAGAAGTAAAGTTCCCCAGTCCTTCCCTCCTTCCCCAGGCTCACTTTCGCTCCCCACCTTCTTTCTGAGCCAAGTTTCTTCACTCCCCAGGTACACAACTTAGCACAGAAACTCCATTTTCCCCAAGCAGAAGCCCTCTGTTCATGATTGGATTTCCCGCCTTCCCTTCCCAAGATCGGGAGTTGAGCTAAAAATGGAATGGCAAACAGAGACAGAGTTGTAACTGCTGTGCTCCTCGCCCTGAGCAGATCGAGTGCTAACTACTTACATGGCAAGGGGATTTGTGACCTGTGGGGATCTCCTGGTGCTTGGAGAGAAGGACCTTGGAAGATTGCCGCTTTCACCCGGTCTTCTTTTAACTTAGCCATTGGAGAGAGAGATACAATGCGCTAGCAGGCATTCATGCGCCTTGCCTCTCCCATTACTCTGGGCAAGAAATCCCCAGCCCTTCAAAAGCAGGGGCATCCTATCTGGAGACCAGGGGCTGAGCAAAGCCTGGCTTGGGAGGGTCGGAGATGGGGGTGGGGGAGAGGTCAGAGGCGCTGCCGAATATAAAGGCGATGGGAGAGAAAATGCTGTGTCCTCCCCGTGAACCTGGGCTGCGTTCTCCCCCACCCCCCAGCCTTTCCCCTCTGCTCAACCCAACTTCGATAAAAGCTCTAAACCTCCGCTTCCCAAAGAAGCTGTGGCAGCATCGCATGGAGCAGCAGCCCCAGCAGGGGACCCAGACTGCTGGAACAAGGAGCCCCGCTCAGGTCGGCCCTCCACTCCCCGCACTCCACCCCACCCCGTCCCTCTCCCGCACCCTGATCCCATTCTGGGGTGGTCAGGCCCAAGGAAAGGAGAGCTCCCGGGAAAGAGGAGAGAATGGAGCCCAATGGAGCCCACTGGAGGGAAGGCCAGAGGCCAAAATCTTCAAAAAACTCAAACGAATGAGGGTTTAGTTTTGTTTCATTTGTCAAGAATTACGATTTCTGATGTTTCCCCTTGTCACACCAAGAGGCACTGAGAACAGCTATGTGTGTATGCGTGAGACGGGAGGGAGTAACTGAACTTCCTAAAGAAGGCAAATAAAAGAACCATCCCAATCCTCTCCTGCTGCTTTCCTGGGCTAGAGTGTCCTTTCGGCAAGTTCAGGGAGAAGCTTGAGAAAGAAAAGATAGTCATTTTCCTCCTCGCTTTCATCTCTTCCACTTTAGGGAAGAGAGGGGAATAAATTCCTCTAAAACCAAAGGAGAAAAATTAAAAAGACTATAGATCCTAAGTTCCTTTTCTTTTTTTTTTCCCCCCTCTTCCTCCATATAAACTTCCTTACTGGGTTGCAAAGACACCCAAGTCCACCCCTCAGTCCTTCCTTCCCTTCTCCCAAGCACTGTTAGACCCCCTTTTCCTGCCCCAAAGTCAATTGCCTCAAGATGCTAGGAGCTACAGTCAGATTTGGCCCCTAATTCACTTGATTACATGAAATAACTCCAGATAATTGTTGGCCCTGCTCGCTCACACTGCAGGCAGCATGTTTTGCTATCTCCAGGGCACCATTGAGGGAGAAGAAAGTAGACCTATAGGACCAAGTGATATCCCCCAAAACGCACAAATACACACACACACACACACACACACACACACACACGCACCCCACTCCAAGTACCAGCCAGCAAGTGGTTCGAGAGGAAATAAATCCAAAGCACACCGAACAACAGATTTTCACAACTGGTCCCATTGTTACCTTTCCCTCCAGAATTTGGGGAGAGGGGATAGGGGTATCCTCAGCTACAAATCCTGGATCTCTTTGCCCTCCCTCTTCAACTTCTGGTGCCTTCTATTCTGAAATTTAGATAAATTGTCTGAGAAGCCCACTGAGCCCCCACTCCCACTTCTTCCAACAAGCAAGCAAAAATTTGAGCAGGCCCCGCTTAGGGCCTGGTCTTGAGGATCAGGATGATTTGGGAGCCTTTGGCTTAAATTAATTATTCAGGTAATCCAGGCCAGTTTTTGTTGCTGCTGTTTCTTTCTCTCTCTCTCTTTTTTAATCCCCAAGGAAACAAATGAATTTTTTTTTTCTTTAAACAGTCAGACAGCCTGGTTCCAGCTATTTCCAAGCCCTGCCAAGACCTGGGAGCTTATAGGAAGAGGGGTAGTCCCTGTGGCTTTTCTCAACACCTAGCAGGTCCATGATAAAAGTTAGGGGAAAAAATAAAAAGTTCTTCATTATCTCCAGGCATCAGGCTTTGAGGCCTACCCAAGCAAGGGGGCCTCCCACGCCTCTGGCCTCCACTTCACCCTTCTTTCCAAGTCTAAACAAACAGAGAAGCCACCCTGACGGGTCACTTTGCTGCTCCAGAGTCACCAGCTCAAAATCTTCCTTCTTTTAAGAAGCACAGGCAGGTTGAGGGGGCATCTTCCTTAATCCCTCATTCCAAAAGAGTCCTAAAAGAAGAAAAAAACTCTTCTCTTCCTCCCACTCCCTAAACTTGCCTTCTTGTCTGCAAATAAGGCAGGCCTACTCAACAGAGAGAAAAGAGAAAAAGGGAGAGGGAAATCAACAAAAAGAAGACACTGTGCCTGACTATAGAAAAGTGAGACGCTCCCAGCTCCACTCTAAAGACCCCCAGGAGAGTCTGGCCTCTTGGCAGACTCAGGGAAGGGATGGGGGAAATCAGCACTAATCTTCCACATCCCCTTTTTTGAGGATCCCCTGTCCCAATCCCCTTGCTGGTGCACCTAAGGACGTTGGAGAAGGAGTTGAGAGTTAAGATTTGTGTGTTTGCTTAGAGTAAACTTAGGCAACTATAGAGAAGGTGGGATGTTACCAGGCCAGAAGGAGGAGGGGGATAAAAAGAAACCATCAGACATTGACGTAAAACTAATTCACATCCACTGGTTTATTATTGATCACGGGGCATTTCACATCGACACTAAAATTCTTTATTGCAAGTTTTACAATAATCAAGTAAATTCAGTCCAAAAACACAATGACCACGATGGTGGGGTGGGGTGGGGGTTCTACCTATAGACTGCCTCTCTGAACTGAAAGTTCATTTTTATTTTCTTTTGGCTCCTCAAACTGCACAGCTCTGAGAGGCTCCTCAATGCATTTAGCTTTGTCTGCTGTCGTCCCCCCTCTCCTCCCAGCACCCCCCCCAACAATAATACAAAAGAACTTCATAGCTTTGTTCTCCTTAAAATGACTTCCCCCTCACTAACCTCCCCTGGTGCATTTTCAATGCAAAAGGCCTAAGGAAAGAGGGGGGAAGGAGGAGGAGGAGAAGGATGAGAATTGGCTTAAAAATCTCTCTTTCCTTTTTTTTTTCCTCATTTCCCCTGAAATTCACCCAAACCAGACCATCGCACCTTGCAATATATAATTTTTGCAGCTTTTTCCTTAAAAAATAAATAACCCCCCAAAATGGCCTTAAAACAAACAAACAAACAAACAAACCCCAGCAGGTACCATGCTAAGACAACATCACATGCTTAAAAGGGTCCTTAACAGTGGAAGGGAGAGAAGGGCAGAGGGCTTGTTTATCTGTTTTGTCAGTTTGGAATTGACAAGGTATAAGGTGGAAAGAAGAGAGAAAAGAACCAAAATATATATATATATTAAATTCTATAAATAAGAGTCAATTTGTGTGTGAGGGGAGGATGGGGGCATGGGGTGGGGGCAGGGTGTGAGTTATGTTTTATAACCTGGTAATGTCCTCTGCCCGTTGCTGCTCCGGCGGCGTGGCGCTCTGGGAGTGGTCTTCAGAAGTGCCCGGGGTGGCTGCCGAGAGGGTGCTGGGCGCAGCGCCGGCCGGGGGCGCTGACCTGACTTTGGTGTTGGGGAGTCGGTGGTCCTTCTTCCATTTCATGCGACGGTTTTGGAACCAGATTTTGATCTGCCTCTCAGAGAGGCACAGCGAGTGGGCGATCTCGATCCTTCTCCTTCGGGTCAGGTAGCGATTGTAATGAAACTCTTTCTCTAATTCCAGGACTTGCTGCCGGGTGTAGGCTGTCCTCGAGCGCTTGGGTTCCCCTCCGTTATAATTGGGGTTCACTGGGGGGGAGGAGGAGGGGAAAAGCAAATAGTGGGGTTCAGAGGCAGCAGGCTCCCGCCCCCCACCCTCACCCCATCCTCAGCTCTGTGGAACAGGAGGAGGGGGTGGTGGAAATAAAGTCATCAAGCTAAATGGGTTATAAAGAAGTTGAAGGAAGCTGGAGACTTTGTAGTGTAATAAGAGGGGAATCCTCATTGTAACGACACTGAATTATTTATGCGCCCTTAGAAAGCGAGCATAGTTTTCACACATACATAACAGATCGTAGCACATGGCTCGGACTGCCCAGAGTAGCTAAGCCATAAAATTTATGGGGGATGTAATTACCCATTCTCGCTCGTAAATCCAGTTCAATTGTGCTAACCCAGAGTCGCTCCTGGAGAGAGAGGGGGAAGGAGAGAAAGGAGGACGGGGGCCGGAGGGGGCCGGGGAGGGTGGGGAGCGCTGGGGAAGTGGGGAGGGAGGGGGAGAGCAAAAAGCAAAGTTGCCTACCCGTGCTAACGTGGATTTTTTTCATCCATGGGTAGACTATGGGTTGCTTGCTGGCGGCGCTGGAGGGATGGTCAGGGGCTGGCTGGCTGCAGGCTGGCGGGGCTGGGGACGGGGAGGCGGAGGCGCCTGAGAGAGGCGCCGGCTCGCAGAGCGGCTGTGATTTCTCGGGGTGGTGGTGGCCCGCCTGGGCCGGCCCGTGGCCTCGCGAATTGCCCGGCCCCTGGAGACTGGTGCAGCTATACTGGCGTTCGGGGTAGCTAGGGCGCGGAGGCGGTGGTGGGTACAGCTCCTGGTGGTGATGCTGGAATCCCGATTCCCTGGTCCGGCCGTAATATTCCGGACTGTGTTCAGGGATGTAGCTATTTTGCGAATATTCTTCGCATGGAGGAAATTTCGGATCGATGTAGTTAGAGTCCATCAAATACGAGCTCATGATCATTAATTTCTGGAGTGGAAAATAATTTTTCTCGCTTTGTCGTTTTTCTGCTCCATAAAGCCCTCCTACTAGCTAGCGACCCTGTAAAGTTACTTTCACCATGTGACTCCGCCGGCCAATCACACGGAGCAACCCAGTCCCCGGATAAGGAACCGAATCGCTTTATTCAAAATGTATCCAATTTTTTGTGTGTGTGGTGGTGGTGGTAGTGGTGCTGGGGGTGGTGGGGGTGGTGATGGGGGGCTAGCAGGCGGGGGCCGAGGTACCCCCACTGCGCACCCCGCCGACTGACAGCCCTCCCCTGCAAAAGGAGATGGGAAGCCCCCAGCTCCCTTCCAAAGCCCGGGCTTTGGGGGGCTGTCGGGAGGCTGTGGTTCAACCCCCTCCCAGAGTCTCCCCGTGGGCCTCCGGTGGGCCCGCTGGGCCTCGGCTCCTGAGTTTTTCCAGAGGTCTCCATTCATGGCGATCCTGTGTCGGTCTGTGTAGGTCACTGGGCAGCGCCCCTCTTTTGCAGGAAGAGGAAGTTGAATGAGGAGGACTGGAGTGGAGGTTGGATGGGGAGGGGCCCAGGCTGAGCCCAGGAGGCTGAAGAGCCTGGGTTGCCCCCCATCCAAGGATACCAGAGTCCATTCCCCTTCCCCATACACACTCACCCAACCCTATGGCCACGGGGCCGGCGAGGCAGGGTCCCAGCTGGACCAGGCAGGTAGAGGCAGCGGGATGCAAATGATTCTGACGTCATTTCTGGAGGTCTGGGGGTTGAGCCCCCGCTGAAGAGAGACAGGAAGTGGTTGGCAAAAGCAGAGTTCAGAAGCCTTGATCTCCTCCCCTGGTATCCACTGACCCTCCCTGCCCCAGCCGCAGAGCAGAGGAACTCTTCTACTGCTGGCTGCTGTTTCTACTCTCAATCCATCTGGCCTGTGGCTTTCTGACAACGACCTCTAAGGCTGGCTCCTTAAGGACGTGGGGCAAGGAGGAGAGAGATCTGCCAGAAGTCAGTGCCCCGAGATGGTGCCCAGCCAAGGCCCTGGGAGCTCTTCTTTCTTCGTCCCCACAGAGGGCCGACCTAGTTAAGAGGGAGGCCTGTGCGGGTAGAGCCTGCTTCCGGCCAGGGATCGTATCCATGTAACACATGTGTTTACATGTAAACACACATTCCCAGGGGCCAGCTCCAGGCTGCTTTCCAAAACCTGAGGGGTGAGCTCCAAGGCGAGGAGGCTGGGCAGGCCTTGGGGGTCTCCCGTCCATTCCTACCAGCTTCCCTCTCTCTGCCACCCACCCACAGGGAATACCCTGATGGCGGGTGTCAGGGGCACGGAGAAGGGAGGGGGCAAGAAAGGGCTGCTTTTTCTGACCCCCTCCCCCAGCCAGGGGTGGCCACGTCATGCCACCAATTCCAATTAGCTGATCCCATAACTCAGAGCTGGGGGGAGGTAGCAGAAGGGAGAACCCAGGGAGGGAGCTGGGTCCCCTTGTTGTACTTGATAACAATTATAGTTTAAAATCATAGCTTGCCGGAGCTCGGCTATATTTTACTTGATAACAATAAAAGTGACACATAAAGTTAACTGTTTATGTTTTATTTATTAGACTAAATCTGCCAGCGGTGGTAGGAGCACTTGCCTCGTCGCTACAGCTTTTATAGGGCTGTAAAACGTCATAAATCAGTCTCGCGGAATCGCCCGCACTCTTTGTGTCGGCGGCGGCGCAGGGCTGGCGGCCGCTGGCTGCCTGCTCCCTCCTTTCCACGAAAAGTCGTAATGTGATTTTTTTCCCTCTGATTTTATTATTATGATCGCCGCCGTGATTAGTCAATCTACCTTTAATTCGCCGCCCTACGCTGCCTCCTCCCAGCCCAGCCTGGTTGACACTTGAATAAGTACCTTTTAAAACGGCATAACAACTATTTGAGGGTTTAATTAGAACATCTGCAATTAAGGGAATGAGGAGGGGAAAAGGAAAAAAAAATAAAGCCCTCCTGAGAGGGAGACTGAAGGCGGGAGATTCCCCACCTGTCTTTCACCACCTTAGGGATGCGGGAGAGGGGGTCCCCATGTCAAAATTTAGGGCTCACCCTGAGGTCAGGAATGAGAACCGCCTGGGCCCCCTGGCCACTCTCTGTCCTCCAATGCTGAGTCTCTGCTCACCCCCAGCTCACCAGGAGCCAGTGCTTGGGGGCCCCTGGATACCCTGTACCCAGGAGGACAATGACCCATCCCCCTACCACCAGGCGGTCAAGGGAACAGGAATTCCCTGGGGGTACACCGTCTCTCAGAGGAGTGTCCCAAATTTCCCAGTGGGTCCCTGCCCATTCCTGTCTGGGCCCGTCAGCCTGTGAGGACTGGCCAGTTTGGTTGAAAGAGGAACGTGAAACTGTGGGGAGGAGAAGGCTGGGGTTCAGTTGATAGTGGCTTGGAGCCTGGGAGGGTGGCTTATTTGTTGTAATTATTGGGGGTAGGGGTGGGTTAATTATAAGTTAGTGGAAGAGGGCAAAGGGAAACCAATGCTGAATGCTGCTCTACACAGAGTCTGAACTGCAGCCCCAGACTGGCCCCAGGGAAAGCCAAAGCTCCCGATTGCAGGTGGGGTTGAGGGGAGGGTTGCTGAAGGAGGAGAAAGCCTTCCAGCCTCACCCCCAACCTCCCTTGAGGACCGCACCTGGATCAGGCTGTCCCACCCAATCCTCGCCCAGAATACTCTTTCTCTCCTTGGAAAGGTGAGGTCTCGGCCTTGCTCCACCGCTCCCAGCCCTCACACTCACCTTCTACCTGCCCTGCCCCCCGCCCTTTCCCCAACCCTCTTTTCTTCCATCTCTTCACCTTCTTGGGCTTTTTAGGGAGTTCCTCCCAAGGCGTCGCCCCTCCTCTGCCACCACTCCCCAGGATTCTAAGCTCCTGCAGGTGGGTCAAGGGAGCCAGAGCAGGAAACCCACTTTGGGCCAATACATATTAAGTAGATAAAGAGAGTTCAGTGGCCTCCAGCTGAATGTCAAGTCTGTCTTTGGTTATCACACCTAACAAATACATATGCATACATACTGTTAATACTTATTAATACATTAAATGCCTCCTTGTGCAGCCATAAATATCTGGGGTTCTCTTCCCAGGTTTGCACATCTAATTTAACATGCACCTCCAGAAAGTGAAATCTGGGAGATTCCTCCAAATGGGCCCACATTCATCTACATCGTTTATCCAAAAGCCCTTTTGGGGTGCCTATACCTTAATAGCAAGGAAGTCGCCTATCACAAGGGGAAAATAGCAAGCCAGCTGGGCTCTACCACACACATACATGCAAACAATTTCACCTGGATATTATTACAAGTGCAGAAATAAAATCCCTCTGGAGAGCTCGTGCACTTAGCATTGGCTTAATGGTGGGGGGGGGCACTCAAGTAGCTCTTGCCTGTGGATGAGTCCTAGTATCTGGTCCTCTCTCCTTTTGTGCTTTGCCCTGCTGCTCCTGTCTTGCCAGCCCAAGGATCTCCACCCCTGCTTGCCCTCCACCTCTCTCTATCCCAATTTTATTTTATTTTTATTTTTTCTGACCACCCTTTGCCAGCTTCCAAACGCTCTCTGAATGCCACCTTCCCCATCTCCTTTCTAAATCTCGATCTGGTTTCTCTTTCGGAAACACGTTTCAGTACAAAGCGCTTCCCTTCTGACACCGCTGAAGAAAAATATGTGTCCATTGTGTGCGAGGCCTTATTGTGCCCGGATTACCATACTGACCGTTAGATAACCCATATTCCTCCCCTCCCCAGTAACAAGCTGCCGGCTGGGGGACCTCGGCGGCTCCACACATTCTGTGCTGTATCAAAATCTCACCCCTCAGACTCCCTGGATTTTCCTAGGGAGAAAAATAAATGGGAGAACCAACTCAGGATTTGGAGGGCAAAGAGAAGGAAAATGAGGGTCATTCCTTTTCCCACTCTCGGAAGTGCAGGATTTTGTGTGGGTGTATGATGTGGTTTTGTTATTGTTATGTTAGAGATTAAAAAATCGCAACACTTCGCTTTCCTCTTCCTCAAATAAATGGACTATTAGATGGTATGCAATCAAGTAATTCACTCCATTTTTATTTTTTCTCCAAGCATCCTGAAAACCCCAAAGTAAAGCAAGACTCTTATCTCATTTTTTTGCGGTGTGTGTATGTCTGTATGTATGTCTATATGTGTGTTTTTGTCCCTTTCTAACGCCAGCAGGCAGAGGTAATGTATGCAAAAGAATATGCAAATGCTTAATTGATTTTTTCTTAAATCTCTTGTCAGTAAAAGTAATGAATTGGTCTAAAATGATTTTAATAACCTGGACGTGTCACCAGAAAATACTAAACCTTTTTTTTTTTTCCTCCTGGAATCGCTTATAGTCTCAAAAAAAAAAAAAAAAGCAATCATGGAATGTTAATTTGCCCCCCTTTAAAATATTAAAGATGAATTTCTCTTGTTTGTTCGGAGACCATAGGCAAGGTCCTCTCGTGGATTTCCCCCTCCTTGCCTTGCCTTCCTTGGAATTCAATTTTCCTCAAATCTCGTTTAAAGTGGCTTTTTAAAAAGTGGCCGCATTTTAATATTGGTTAGACAGAGTGACCTGCATTTCACCTCGGGTGTTTGACTTGTTCCAATAGGTCACTGCCATGGGGTTATTGATGGGGAAACTCCATTGAAATTTGTCTCTTCGCAAATGGCCTTTAGATCTTCCAGCGAGTTCAATAACTAGTTATAATGTGGAAGGGGAAAAATGAAGGCCCTGGGCTAACGAATTTGATGTTTCATTTTTATGCTGGAGAAATTGTTAGTTAGAGATTGGGTTCCTCACCCCCTTTCTTGGTCATCCTGGCCTCACTCACCCCCACTCTCATCCAAGGCTGCTGGATTATATCCCCTTTAAAACTTGAGCTAGGGTGTCCCTTTCTGCCTTTGATGCAAGCTTTAATTCTTTTTACTATTAATATTGTTGCTGTTGCTGCTAAAAATTCTGACTTAAGGCTGCAGGAGATTTGTAACCTTAACTTTCCTGTTAAGGGGGGAAAGGACTTTTACTTTTAAAGGAGGTAAAATGTAGTTTTGAAAGTTCTAGGAATTAGGCTGGCTCTGGTGTAGCTTATGGTGAGCTCCCTGGCCTGTGCTTCCAGAATTAATGAAATGACAGGAGGCTGGGAACCCTCTGGGGGCTTGATGAAGGCATCTCAAAATGGCCCAATCTCTTCTTGGCCT